ACGGCAACTCGATTTTGAGATTAATTTTCCGAATAAAGTTATACTATTCTAATGACGAACTATTGTCTTCAGTTGTTTTTGTTGTCATTCAACTGTCATTTTATCTATTTTTTCGGTGATATTACCATTCTCAATAATCTATAAAACACCCACATAACAACGTCACGTTAGACCGATCGGTGGGGACGCCGTGGTGACGCCGGTAGGGTCAATTTTTGTTTGAAGGTATCAAGGTGATAAACAGTTTCATTGCTGGTTTCAAATCACGGTCAAGTATAAAAATTACCTAAATCACCTTATTTTGCGAATTAGCGCCCTTCAACTGATCATCGAACCCTCCCACTTCACCTTCGCACCCCTCCTCCCCATCAGCCTCCCATTTCAAGACATCTAGATACGCCATTAATTTACATGGTCAGATGAATTAAAATACTCAATCGATGTGCCACCAAATCGTAACCAGCCTTCACCATGCCCTCACGATGTCACCGGGGACACAACTGCCAAAAAACTATTTTTGGCAGCGAAGGGACGCTACAATCAACAATCAACAAACTACCGGGTTTCTGGGTTGATTTGCAAGGTACTACATGGCTCAACTATTTTTTACTTAGGGTTTAATTGGTAAAAATCGCACACAAATCAAACGACGTCTGACAACGCCGGAGACGGCAACTCGATTTTGAGATTAATTTTCCGAATAAATTTACTGTATACTACATAACTTCTAATGACAAACTATGGTCTTCAGTTGTTTTTGTTGGTCATTCAACTGTCATTTTATTTATTTTCGCCGGAAGGTATCAAGATGATAAACGGTTTCATTGGACTAAATTCTTGCTTATGTTAACCATACCTAAGATTATACTGACAATGGTTTCAAATGAAATAACTGACAACTTTGGTTTGTATCTATCTGTGTTGACTTCGTCGCCGAACGATGGCAGCAAACCAAATACAAAATACATCTTGTCAATTTTGATGTTTAGGTACCGTACTTCTCCTTTATTTTTCCTGCATTATTGGTAATCCTAAATAATTAGCCACCTTGTACGATTTTTATAAAATACCTCATAAATTCAAGTTGTATAACCGGCCCTGTGGCCCAATGGATAAGGCATCTGACTACGAATCAGGGGATTCCAGGTTCGAATCCTGGCAGGGTCGCTACTTTTTAGGTATTTATTCCTTTGTCTTCGCCTATAAATAGTTAACTACATTGTACCATTTTTTTTGTAAAATACCATCGATATGATTTATGTTCAACCGACCCTGTGGCCCAATGCAATTATGCATTGAGCCACAGGGTCGGTTGAACATAATCATATCGATGGTATTTTACAAAAAAAAATGGTACAATGTAGTTAAAGCCCCATTCCCGGCAAAATTTCAGTTTTTAAGAAAAATCTAATTTTTGTATAATGTTATAAAGATTTATAAATATAATACGGAATTGCTAGTTTAACTGAATTTAGACATTCC